AAAGCTCGGCAAAAATCATAATATTTTTGCTAAAGAAGAATTTTGATTCGAAGGCAATTAAGATTTTTGTTTGCCGAACGCAATTTCACCTTTTTACATTTACGCCATATCTGCGGCATTTACAGTCGGATCTCAAAGTATAATATATCGATGTTTGTTTTTAATGGCAAAGCGTAGGGGTCGCCTTTTTACATTTGAAAATAAATTTTAGACGCGAGGAGTGTACGGCGAACTTATTTTTGTTTGCATGTAAAGAGGTAAGGTCTAATGTACATATAGAGTTACACATCGTCACCTGATATGCAAAAAGACGTAACTAATAAAAAAAATTCAAAATTTAGTTTTTCATTGTTATGATCGAGTTCATCGAGTTACAACTCCCACATCATTTCATGAAAAAAAAATAAATAAGTATTAGTCACGACTTTTTCCATTTCCATTTCATTTTCGATGTTGTTACGTATTTTTGCATTTGAGGTGACGATATGTACAGTCAGAGTTTTTAGGGAATTTTTTTGCATTTTTGTGAATTTTATATAGAGTGCGAAACTTTGATTTTTATGGTTTATGTTATAGAATGAACTACATTTTCATAAAAAAATTTTTCATAACCATGAATATTATATTAGAACAAGATGCATGCAAACTTTGACTGTAAACATATGTACAAATGTATACTTTGTAAGTTGCTAAAGCAAGTTGTTCGTTAACTTACCGCCACACCGAATCCTCCTCCCGGAAAGTGCTGCGGATGTAGGCACATTCTTTGTTAACTACAGCGCGCTCTTCTGCGGCTGTCCTGGCGGCGCGTATTTGCCGGATGAGATCTCGCAGACGTGTGGGTGTTGGCATTCGCACTGCATTCGATATTCGCGGCAAGGTATTCATACGCANTTAACTTACCGCCACACCGAATCCTCCTCCCGGAAAGTGCTGCGGATGTAGGCACATTCTTTGTTAACTACAGCGCGCTCTTCTGCGGCTGTCCTGGCGGCGCGTATTTGCCGGATGAGATCTCGCAGACGTGTGGGTGTTGGCATTCGCACTGCATTCGATATTCGCGGCAAGGTATTCATACGCAAAAAAGAAAAAATGATAAAATATAACATGAATAATATGCATAAGTAACAGCGATAGTTTGCAAATGTCTTAGGTTCTTCTCTCGTGTGTGGGCTAAGTTATCTGTGTCTTTGCATTAGCCAAACACACGCTAGCTTTTCTATTTCTTTGCGTTTGCATTTAGTACTGTGACGTGTCTTATGTCGCTATGCGCCTATACATATGTATGTATGTGTGAATGCGCTTAAGTATGCTTCAGTGGGTGGTAATGATCATGATAAATCGATTTATGAAATTTGCTTAACGTCCGACAAGTGTTAATTGAAAACATCGTTGAGTTCTCTAGGCTTTTGCACGATGTCTTTCAATTAGATCAAAATACATATACATACATACGTATTAGGGCTGTGCGATTAATTGATTACTCAAAATTTTAATTAACCATAA